AACATGGGAGAGTACTCAAAAGCACTTTCATTTTACGAAAAAACACGTGAAATCGTCGAAAAAACTCTTCCTCCAAATCATCCTGATTTGGCTATTCCCTACAACAACATCGGTGCGGTGTGTATAAACATGGAAGAGTACTCAAAAGCACTTTTGTTTTACGAAAAAGCACTTGAAATTCGACAAAAAACTCTTCCACCAAATCATCCTGATTTCGCTCAATCCTACAACAACATCGGTATGGTGTATGATAACATGGGAAAGTACTCAAAAGCACTTTCGTTTTACGAAAAAACACGTGAAATCTATCAAAAAACTCTCTCTACAAATCATCCTTCATTGGCTACTTCCTACAACAACATCGGTTTGGTGTATAAGAACATGGCAGAGTACTCGAAAGCACTTTCGTTTTACGAAAAAGCACTTCAAATTCGACTAAAAACTCTTCCTCCAAATCATCCTGATTTGGCTACTTCCTACAACAACATCTCCGGTGTGTATTACAGCATGCAAGAGTACTCTAAAGCACTGTCGTTTTACGAACAAGCAGTTGAAATCCAACAGAAAAGTCTTCCTGCAAATCATTCTCATTTGGCTTCTTCCTACAACAACATCGGTATGGTGTATGATAATATGGGAGAGTACTCAAAAGCACTTTCATCTCACGAAAAAGTACTTGAAATTCGACAAAAAACTCTCCCTGCAAATCATGTTTCATTGGCTACTTCCTACAACAACATCGGTGGGGTGTGTATAAACATGCGAGAGTACCCGAAAGCACTTTTGTTTTTCGAAAAAGCACTTGAAATTCGACAAAGAACTCTTCCTCCAAATCATCCGTATTTCGCTCAATCCTACGACAACATCGGTATGGTGTATATAAACATGGGAGAGTACTCAAAAGCACTTTCGTTTTACGAAAAAACACGTGAAATATTCGAAAAAACTCTTTCTCCAAATCATCCTGATTTGGCTACTTCCTACAACAACATCGGTTGCGTGTATAAGAACATGGGAGAGTACTCAAAAGCACTTTCATCTCACGAAAAAGCACTTGAAATTCGACAAAAAACTCTTCCTCCAAATCATTCTGATTTCGCTCAATCCTACAACAACATCGGTTGGGTGTATAGAAATATGAACAATTACTCAAAAGCACTCTCATATTTTGAACGTGCACTTGATATTTTACAACGTTCATTACGTCCTAATCATCCTCATCTTAAATCTGTGAAAGAGAGTATTGAAATTGTAAAAAAAGAAACTGTAAACTAATGTTTAATTAATAAAAGATGTTTTTTCAGTTACTTCGAATAGTTCTATTTTTCATCACCTTCGCTCGCGCGTACAGAGAAGCTCTCTGTAAATAATAGAAACGCAATGGACAAAGCCGACTGGTAAGGCAATACATGTACATACGTACATGTATAGAAGGCTCTCACAGACATGTTTGCGCTTCGCTCATTAACAAAGAGAGTTCCTCTGTATCAAAATAATATGCACCTTGAAAAATAACCAATGTAAATTGTCGTGAAAAAAATAAACAGTTCGGAAATATATCTAAAAAGTTTTAAAAAATCGGAAAAAATAAAAAAAGAGTCACTTACCTTGAACTGGATTGATTGTTGTTGTTGTTGGATGGAGCCCCGAATAATGATGAAGAAGTGAAGAAGTATTTATTTAGGTATATAGACATTTTTTCGTCTAGTCTACTCAATCAATGAATATTGGTCATTGAGTAAGTGTGAATAAGAAGAAAAGAGAAAAGTTCGTCGTCAATTATTCTCGGCTAGAATGGACGAATGTGACCTGCACGTAATGAATTGTAGTCGATGTTAAATTGATTTGCTCATCTATAACGTTTTATGTAATCACGATGATTGTGGGTGAAAAATGATATATGATAATCAGAAGTTTGACTTCACAATCGATCTGTAATAGAAGTTATACATCATTTTTAAAAAGAACACGTCTAATATCTTTTAGATTTCTGCGAAAACATAGACAAGAATGAAGAAACTCGGATTTGGTGGTTTATGTTGATTTTGAGGGTGTGTCAAGCAACCGTGATGCGTTTCGTCCCTACTAGAGGACTCTTCAGACGGCTAAGACTTTATAACTATTCGGATGATCTAATGATCACAAATAAGTTACATAATCCTTCATTTAGCAAGAAATTCAGAATCGAATTTAAGCTAATTTAGGATATCTTTTCACCAGTGATGTGTCAAGCAAAACATGATCCTGATTTCGACCTTGCTCAAGGGACTGAATAGATAGTTTCAGATTTGCTGTAACTGTGTACATGTTGATATGTTCGCAAATGAATGGCATTATGTACAAAGTGATTTAGCGTTGAATGAAAGGTAGTTCTGTGTTTTTTTAGACATGTGGCTTTAACAATGTACCGGTAAGCAAGTGTATCTCGGTTGTTTGGTGGTGAGTACGAGTATAATTCGGTGGTAGTCGCCTGGATGGCGTAACTCATGGCAAATGTGAGCATGAGAATCTGGCTGAAGAGCTATGTTAAATAGTTTAAGGGAATATTTGATTGCATGGTGTTTAAATAATCCAGTTTCTTGGGTGTATTTTGGGAATATAATATGTGAGCAATATTAAGAATGTTTTTGGAAGGTTCTTTGTTTTGATAGTAGAAGTTATTTAAATAATATGAAGCGACGACGTTTATTCTTTGACGAAATCAGCGATTATATCGCACGATATGACAAAGATTCAAGAAGTTTATGTATTTTATTTTACAACACAGACATATCTATAGAGAACAGAAAAGAAGTTGGTAGTGTAATAGTTGACAAACAACGGATAGTTTCATTTGGAGTTCTTAGTAGATGGTGTTGGTCGTGCAATAATTTTTGCCTTATCATCGAGTCTGCTGTTGAATTTTAGATCGTTCTTAGAGACGAAATTATCGCATGTACATGGTTGACCTGTTCAAAATAAATCGTATATGAAATGAGGATACGGAAATGTGAAATATCGTTGAAACTAGACCTACTTTGACTGGATATCGTTGAAGATTTGTTTTGATATACTGTTCGAAAACGATTGGGATCTAATGGCGATGGATCGACCAACCGTATTGGTGGTATTAAATAGATCACTCTCGATCCATTTTTGTTGATTATTTGTTTTAAGGGAAGAAAATCCAATTCTCGACGGCTCCCTATAAACTACGCGAACACCTGCGAACACCTCGAAATAAAAGATACCTTAGATCTAGTTATATAGGTAGATAGAACTCGATGAGTTATGTCCACGAACATCTACGAACACCTACTTCGAAGGAGTTCCAAAAAAGATCCGAATATCACAAACCACAATTTTTCTACGAACACCACTTTTAATACCTGCGAACACCTACGAACACCTCTCAAACATGCTTGAAAATCTACGAACACCAGCCCAATGAAAATAAACTCTCATTGCCATCATTCTTGAGGCAAAACTTGTATCACTTTATCGAACCTGTGCCCATAAATAGCTAGAAACATTTTTTTCACCACACTTTCACATACATAATCGTCTACGAACACCAAGAAAATGATTCAGAAAATCTACGAACACCAGTTATTTGAAAAGCTCTCATTTGAAAACATGTTACCCAAGCTTTTTATGCTGCTTCTATTGAATAAAATATATTTAAAAAGCGATCTAAATGAAATAAATCAGTTTTTTCCTATTTTATAATAATTTTATGAATAAAAGTGTTCTTTTTTCAGTTTACTGAACACCATTACTGTTTTTGTCAGAGAAATATGCTTTTAGTACTTTAGAAAGTGCCAATATGAAGTCTTGATTGCAGACTTGCAGCTGATCAGCTTCTTCAGATGTGATATCAATACGTCCTTTATCCACAATGTCACGACGCATTGCATTGTGTATGGCTAAACGTACAACATGTTCTATTTGAGCTCCAGTAAATCCTTCACTATTGTGAATAATATAATCGATACCGACATCGGCTTCTAATATTCCATTATGAAGCAAGGGTTTTGTATAAATATCAAATATTTGAAGACGTCCTTCACTGTCGGGTAGACCTACCTCGACGGTAGTGTCTATTCGACCTGATTGGAGAAGCGCAGGATCTATTGAATTGATATTATTCGTGGTGCCAATAAAAAATATGTTGTCTAAATGAAATATTCTATCTATTTCTGTAAGTAACTGTAAAGTAACATTGTCTTCAACATGACTTCGTATTCCATCACTATGATCAGTACGTCTTTTACAAATTGCATCAATTTCATCAAACACAATTATATGAAGAGTACTATCCGATCCATATAGCTTTTGATCTCGACGAGCATCTTCAAATAAATTACGTATTTTGTGTTCCGATTCACCGAACATATGATTAAATATTTCCGGACCATTAACAATTGTAGGTTCAATATTGAGAAGCTCACATATTGTGCGTGCAATCAAAGTTTTACCAGTACCAGGAGGACCATGTAGAATGGTGTCTTTCCGTTTGGTTAAACTTGTTTTAGTAACAAAACTTGCGAGATATATGCAAGTTAATAACACATCTCCAAAAATACGTTCGAAGATATGATCGAAACCACCAACTTTGCTTTGAAACTTGAATTTTGTTTTTAAAATGTCAGATAATCCTTTAGGTGATTCAACACAGGCCAAAACACGGACTCGACATGAATGATAAAGTTTTAAATTATACATTTTTTGATGCTGGTAACTGACTGCGATAGTACCAGGTGGTACAAATGATTTTACTTTTGAATTGAAATCGTAAGATCCATGTTTCGTAATTACTTGTATTCGGTTGGATTTTGAAAGTATATCATCTTCTGGGCTGATAAAAATTATATTTGGTTGCACATCGTTACAATTTAATTTTACATTTACCACAATTCGTTTCTCCATATGAAGTATGTAGAATGCGACCGTTGAATAGGATGAAATGCAAGCTTAGTGATCACGTACGCAATTAATATAACGCATTTGAATGATAAGAAAAAAAAATACAATTAAAAATAATGCATAAATTTGTTTTTTTTCGGGAATATAATTTATGGTCAGTAAAATAAATGAAATGATCAGTAGAATAAATGAATGGTCAGTAAAAAATGAATGATCAGTAAATTATTTAAATGGTCAGTTATTAAAATAACTGGTTCGTTAATATATTTAAAGGTCAGTGAATTAATTTAAATGGTAAGTATAAACATCGAAACGTGTTATACTATCACCTCACCCGTGCAAACAGCGCCTTAGAGGCAATTAATAAAAGAAACAAAAATGATGAAATAATTAGAGAATGTCATGTTTTATGGAGATTTTTGACAATAGCTTCAAATATTGTCGATAGTTGGTGAACTGGACGAGACTCTTCTTCAATTAATGCAAAATATTTGTTACAGAATCAACAATATCTTCAGAATTGTAGACTTTATCCTATCAATGGGCTAAATCAACAAAAAACTTAGTTGGCCTTCCAAATGATGCTTCAGAATAATATTGTATTCGAGCTAGTCATTTACAATCGATTACATAAGTCGATTTAAATAAATATATAAATACAAAAATTGACAACTTTGATTCAATTCAAAAATCATTTAATATTTGGTGTTTGGAAATGAAACATGGCTCAGCTTGGAAAACATCAAATGCAACTGTTTAGGTTTTTTTGAAGAACTGCATATGCAAACACATTGTAGATGTGTCTGTTCATTTGAAATATTGTAAACCACTAGCAAAAAAAATCGTCTCGATCAATGAGAAAAGAAAACAAAGGTAGACTAGTAAAGGCTAAACCTATATTGCTAGTATAATAATTGAATTTTCATTTTCTTTTTTGCTTTCATTCTTTGGATTTCCATATAATGACCTTTTGGATTTCTTCTTATTTACTCATTGGTTTTTTTCTATTTATTTTAATTTATTTTTCTTATATAAATTAATCTTTATATGAATAAAGCTATTTCTTCTACTAATAAAATCTGCACTTTTACTGATCAAAATTGAAATTTTTACTGCTACTTGTATATAGAAAACTGACCATTTTATGATTAATTACTGACCATTTTTTAATTAAGTACTGACCGTCATACTACTGACAATTCAATATTTCTACTGATCATTTATATATTCTGTTACTGACCATTTCATTTATTTTACTGACCACTTAAATGATAGCCTTTTTTTTCTACCAGCAAGTTAAGTCTATAAAAGATGCTCTCTGTTATGGAAAGAATACAAAGATCGATTTGTGTGCTTTGCGACATTCACTCTACTTCAATTTTGTGTCAAGCATGCAAAAGTGAGACTCGAGATGATTTTTATCTTGGGTGTGGGTGTGGGTGTGGG